ACCAAGGTGCTTGTTGCCTAATTTTGTGCAGTTAGGTTTCTACTTCCCCAGAGGAGTTTTTCCAAGTACAACAGGTAGTGTTTGTTATCGCAGAGAAGCCTCCCTGCTCAGCAAGCAAGTAATCAAGGGCTATAGGATTGTCCAAACTACTTTGGCCACTGAGTCGAGTGGTCGTTTTGTGGTTAGAAAAGGATATTCATGCCTGGTTCAGTCATCCTGGGAGAGCTGTCTCTGTCAGACATCACCTGCTTCAATTCCTGGAAAGCTTTACTTTCAGATCACCAATTAGTGTGCAGGTACAGCTGGGGTTTGGTGCTTTCTTTAGATGTGACACGTGAATCTGTTCCCTGAAGTTTGGAGGCAAAAGGGTTGGTTAACAGCACCCAAGAGGTTGAGAAGAGTCTTTTTTGAAGGTGTGTATCCCAATAGATGAAATCTTTGTGTTGCCAGGTCTCATGCTTGAGGTCCCATCTCCCAGGAGCACACCGTGAAAAGATTGTTACTAAGACATGACTATTGTGCTTAACCTAAGGGCGGTGGCAGGAATGGCTCTGAGCCAAGGGAAGTAACCTCATATCTCAGGGTCCAGCTGTTGGCTGTAATATCCTACGGGTCGGTAAAGGTCTCCATATTTTTGGGTGAGCGCTCCAAGAGCAGTCCCTTCCTTCTTACATACAGAAAGGGAAAGGAGAGCTGATAATTAGGATACGCAAAGGCAGAGGATTTCACTGAGCTTTTCTTCAAGGCCCCAAAGGCTAGGTCATCCTAATCTTTCCAAATGCTAAGGGCACACTTGTTGTTTTGCAGTGAAATATAAGGATTGGGCCATAGAAAGACGTTGGAATCCAATTTCAACAGTGGCCAGCAAGCCTGAGAAAACCTCGTAATTGGTGCTTAGTTTTAGATTTGGGGAAGTAAAGGGTAGCATGGAGCCCATATAGATCTAAATGTAGTCCATGTTCTGGGATCAGGTGCCCTAGATATGGAACCTGAGTTCGAGCAAACTGTAATTTTTTCTTGCAGGTTTTTTTTCTTGGAGATTTTATGTCCCTTTAAGGCTAAAAGTTTTGACTGGCAAATGCTGTCCTCAGGTGAAGAGGCATGGGAAAGGGATCAGAGAAGCTACTCATCTATATATTGTAACAAGGCAGAACCTCTAGAAAACTTTGTATCACCTAAATCACCTTTTAAGGTTTGTGAGAAGGAAGGGGCTCTCAATAAAATTCGGCATTACTGTCGAGATATGTTTTCCTTCCCAAGTGAAGACAAAAGGACATAGGCTGGCCTCATGCACAGACGTGCCAAAGAAGGCACCACATTTATCAATCACAGTAAAAAGTTTTCTCTCAGTGGGGATGGAGGCCAGTGAAGTATGGGATTACGAACAGCAGGGTTTTGAGAGATAACAAAGTTATTTGTGGCTCAGAGGTCTTGGGCAAACCTCCATCCTCAGCCACTGGGTTTTCTCACAGGTCAAATAAGGCTATTAAAGGGACTAGTGCAGGGGCTAATGAAGCCCTGGGCCTTATCATCCTCTATAATGGACTTGATGCCTTCAACGGCTTCTTTAGTTGTAGGGTATTCATTCTAGGGAGAGGTTTTGAGGGATCTATTTGAATCTTAATAGGAAATGCACTGTGGATTCTACCTGTATCAGCTGAGGATTTTGCCCCTAAGGAGGGTGGTAGCTGATCCAACAGAAACAAATTATTAGTTTCCTTGAAAATGGCTCTAGTGCCATCTGAGACAGAAAAAATAAAAGATGTCAAAGAGTCATTTGATTCACTTAGTTGGCTATTTTGGCTGCTACTGTCAAATCCTAGAATTGTTTCCCCTTTTCAGGAGAAAAACTTTCAACATGACATGTTTCTACAAAAGCTTGGCCCAATGAGTGAATTAGGATGGAGGAAGCTAAGGAGAAAAGGGTGGGTATCTCTTAGAGGAATAGGTTTAGGTACAGGAACCTGTGGGGATTTATTAGGGATTCCCACTATTTGAGTAACAATGGGGAGTGTAGCCGTGGTGTCAATAAAGACAGAGAAAAATTCATTCCTAATCTGAAGAATTGTTTCTCTGGGCCAATTAAGAGAGAGAATTAGGAAGAGCTCCTGCAATTCCTTAGAGACCCATATTGAGGTTTGGAGGACATTGGAAAGATAGGTTATGGGGCCAAACAGGCCTGGAATGCTTAGGACTATAGCCGTCCATTATCCAATATCCTGGCTTTTTGTAATAGTGCCAGTGACAAGGAGGTTTTTGGTTCTGTTTAGGGGCCTCTATTTGTTGGAGTTGAAAATTAAGGATTTCAGTGGTCTTGCTGTTAGTCAAACTATCCAGGGTGCAGGCAAGCTATTTTGCCAAATTAATTAAATCTAGAGTGGACATAGTTCCCCATTCCACCCTGGTTCTTTTAACCAGAAGAGAAAGATCCCAGGTCAGCCCGTTAATAAAATAAACAGAGTCAAAGACTAACTGAATTGACTTGACATCTAAAGAAAGACCAGAGTTTTCCTTAAAAACAATCTGAAGTCAATTGTAATACCATGAATAGATTCTTTGAGTTTTTATGTATGCATCTGAATTTTGTTCCAATCAACAGGCTTAGGAGAAGCTTTTGCAATTGCTGTGGGAAGTTATCTAGCAAGTGTTCGGGCCTCCTACCAGAACACAGAAGATGGTTTTCTAAATTCTTTTTGTGATTTTCCCATTGGGCCAGTTGCATTCAATGCTGAGCCTGACCCTTACTGACAAGGATATGAACTAAGTGATATAAATCTGATAAACTGGGTTGATAAGTTTGAATAATTATGTTAAACTCTCCAGCAAATCTATAAGGATCCTCAGTCACCTTGGTAAAGTTTTTGAATATAGCTCATAATTTAGCTTTAGTCCAAAGAACATGAGAAATTAAGGGTTTAACAGTCTGCATGCATGTGTTTTGCCTGGGAATAAAAATATGGCGAAGCAAAACAGCGGGAAGAACAGACATCTGGAGAGGTTGACGTCAGGGATGCTGAGTGGGGTCGCCCGACATGGGAGTCCTGCTGGCTTCCCTCTCTGTGACCCTTGCCTCACTCTTAAGGCCATGCCTCCAACAGTTGGGTGACCAACAAGCCAGATCAATAGGACCTTGGATTGAGTTTTCCTTAGAGCCAAAGCCTAGCTTGTCCAGATTTGTGACCTGTCCTCATGTCACATCTATGAAGAAGATGCTGCGAGGAGGGCATGAATTCTGTTTGGAGACAGCTTCTGGTCCCAGTTAGGTCACTATCTGTGTGACCTTGAGGATGACCTTCAATAAATGGGCAAAGGGCCTGAATCGACATTTCTCCAAATGATCAACAAATGTAAGAAAAGATCAGGTATTAGAGAAATGCAAGTCACAGCCAGAGTGAGATATTTCATACCTACAAGGATGGCTATTAAAAAATACAAAAAAAACAGGGTATTATGCTCAGGGAGATAAGCCAGGTGGAGAAAAACAAATACCAAATGATTTCACTCATCTGTGGAGCATAACAACAAAGCAAAAACTGAAGGAACAAAACAGCAGCGGAATCACAGAACCCAAGAATGGACTAACAGTTACCAAAGGGAAAGGGACTGGGGAGGGTGGGTGGGAAAGGAGGGATAAGGGGATTAAGGAACATTATGATTGGCACACATAATGTAGGGGAGGGCACGGGGAAGGCAGTTTAGCACAGAGAAGACAAGTAGTAGCTCTATAGCATCTTACTATGCTGATGGACAGTGACTGAAATGGGGTATGTGGTGAGGACTTGATAACGGGGGGGAATCTAGTAACCACAGTGTTGTTCATGAGATTGTATATTAATGATACCATAAAAAAAAACTTAAAAATAACAAAAAGGTGTCAGTGAGTATGTGAAGAAATTGGAACCCTCATGCATTACGGATGTGAATGTAAAATGGTACAGCCACTGTGTGGAAAACATGACAGTTCCTCAAAAAGTTAAACATAGAATTTTTTATCAATTATTATTATTAAATAATATAATGATTAAATATCAGCAATTCCCAAAGAATTGAAAACAGGTACTCAATTAAATACCTGTACCAGTACACTAATCATAGAAGCACTATTCACAACAGCAAAGAAGGGGGAACAATCCAAACACCCATCAGTGGATGAATGCATAAGCAAAATGTGGCATACCATCAGTAGAATATTATTCAGCCATAAAAAAAGAATGGAGTGTTAGGGCATTACACTAAGTGAAGTAAGTCAGACAGAGAGGGACAAATACCATATGATCTCCTTATACTTGGAATCTAAAACAAAGAAACAGACAAGCAAACTCATAGATACAGAAAACAAACTGGTGGTTGTCAGAGGTGGGGATAATGGGTGAAGGTGGGCAAAAGCTACAAACTTCCAGTTATGAAATAAAAAAGTCCTGGAGATGTAATAAACAGCATGGTGACTATAGTCAATTATACTGTATTGCATAGTTGAAAGTTGCTAAGAGAGCAGATCTTAAAAGTTGTCATCGCAAGGAAAAAAATTGTAATCATGTGTGATGATGAATGTTAACTAGACTTATTGTGGACATTTTGCAATATATACATTCATTATGTTGCATGATTGAAACTAATATAATGACACATGTCAATTATATCTCAATTCTAAAAAAAAGAATGAAGTACTGACCCATGCTACAACATGGGTGAACCTTGAAAATGTTTTCCAGACATAACAGGTCACATACTCTATGGCTCCATTTAAATAAAATGCCCAGAGTGGGTAAATGTGTAGACACAGAACACACATTGGTGGCTGCCAGAGACTGGGGAAGAGAGGAATGGGGAATAAATCTGTAATGGGTGCAGGGTTTTCTTTGGGATCACAGGGTCTGGGAACTAAGCAGAGAGGGTGGTAGCCCAACAATGTGGATGTACTAAACACCACTGAATCATACACTTTAGAATGGCTAATTTTATTTACTAAGAGTTTCACCTTAATTTTAAAAAAGGAAGAAAGAAGAAATGATTCTAGGAGCTCTTCGTGGAAGAACAAAACCACTGCAGCGATGCCAAGCCACTCTTCTGGCACACGTCATGGCCCTCCAGGCCCGCCCGCCGATCTGATTAAGGGGCTTCGGGTCCACAGCAGTAGACATCATGTCACCGCCCTAATGACTAGCCCCAGAGGTCTCACCAACACCGTTTTCCCTTTTCCCGGTTCCATCCCAGGATATTTTCGCCCTTTCTGGAGACGCCCTTCCCTTGGTGAATAAAAGAGAGTTGCTGCCCCAGCACCTAATTTGGGAACCTGCCTGAGTGTAGAAAAACCACAGCCATATAGGGAGACATTCTTCTGTGAAGGCATTTGGCTCTCCAGGGATGGAAGGTGGACCGCTGCCCCGGAGCGCGGAGCTTTGAGGAAACAGGCACTTCACAGGTTGGCAGAGGCTGTTGTCCAGGTTTCCTGTGGCCTGTGGAGGGTCGCAGAGGTGGTGTCCCCGGCTGCATCTCGCCAGACAGACCTGGATGCATGGGATGAGTCATGCCCTGGCTCAGCTTCCCACAGAGAGGACTGTTCCACAAATTGAGTTCCAGCCAGTTTTCCTGGAGAACTGTGTAGAAGGGCTATTTTCAACTCCTCTTTGGAACGCAAATACCAGGCTGGATGGCAGGACGGGTGGGGAGGAGGACAAAAAACCATAAACAGGAAATTTATGGGGGATGGGGCTGTGCTGGAATAGCTTAACTAACTCCTTGGGTGACCTTGAGCCCTTCCAATGCAAATTCAGGGTTTGCCTTAAACCAGAAAAAATGAAAATGACTAAGGCCCAGGACAGTTCAATAGTTGCTGTCATGCTTTACTGCTAATGCTGAAACGACAGGATCCTTGGGAAGGGCAACACAGTTGTGATCTGGGTATCCCCAGGTCATATCAACTGAAGGGGGTCAGGGGCCAGTGTAGTCACAAAATACAACATCAATGAGCAATAAAAGTTGATTGCTAGACAATATTGTGCAGTAAAACACTGGAGTCCAGCAAATCTGGGTTTGAATTGTTGGTTTTTTAACTTACCAGTTGTGTGACCTTACTTTCTCCATGTACAAAATAGGATCTATACATATGCATTGCACACACACACACACACACATACACACACACAGATACCTAGTAGAGTTGTTGTGGGGTATGAGGAATCATGAATGTAACATGCCTGAAACATGGTTGGTTGTCAGTAAATAGTGGCTGTTATTTCTCTGGCTCAGCCCTCTACCTTCTAAGAAGGTGAGTTTTTTCCTAGAGGCCAATTAGACCATCATGTGGCTGACACCTGGAGGGGGTGCCCCCTTTGGACCTGATAGAAATGTTGGGTGAACAAAATTAAAGCCTCTCATCTGACATACCTTCTCTATAAACCAAGCCAAAAAATAGATCATTCTTATTAATTCCACTTCTAGGAATATATTCAAAGAAAGTTACAGGGGGAAAAATGGAAAGATCATGTGTATAGGTATTTCTCATGATGTTATTTATAATACCAGAAATGTTTACTGAAAGATCTTGGAAATGTGACTTGTTGATACCATGGAATCTCACACATTTAGAATGAACAATGTGATATCTGTGTAGAAAGATGAAATGTGAAAATGAAACAATATTAAGTTTTAAGAAATTGGGCTCCAAACTGCATATATACTAGGATAGTTACTATTCAGCTCATAGCCAAGCAGACGACAAGGGCTTGGAGAAATGCAAATAGTTGACAAGATGGGAAAATTACATTACAGATTCAACTTTTTTGTTGTTGTAAAGCTATTTATTTGCAAATATTCTTTTAAGTTATCTTTTTAATGATGCAGGTGAATGAATGATTTCTAAGACTTCTTTCCTCTCTAATATTCTTTGGTCCCTGCTTGAGTAAGTCACCTGTCTTTATGTCATCTTAGGTTTCCTCATCTAACATTGTGGAGTAGTTTTCTAGTCACAAATCCTTAGACTCATCTGTGTTAGTTACCCCAAAATTTGGCAGCCTAAAACAATAAATAATTCAGGGATCAGAATATGGGAAAGGCTACAGCTGTGTGGGTCTGGCTCCGGGTCTCTCATGAGGCTGCAGTCAAGTTAATAGGCTATTTAGTCATTTAGAGGATCAACAAGGGTTGGAAAATCCATTTCCAGGCTTACCTGCCTTCCTGCATGGGCCTCTCCTTACAGCTGCTCACAACATGGAAACAGGCTTGCCTTGTGAGAGAGCCCCAGACCACAGCCATGGCCTTCTATAACCTCATCTCGGAAGTGACATACCATCACTTCTGCCACATGCTCTTGGCCACACAGAACAACCCTGAGTCAGTGGGAGGGAACTACACAAGGGTGTGAACACCTGGAGGTGGGCTCCTTGGGGCTGTGCTGAGGGCTGAGTTCCACGTCCTATAAAGTTGAATTCTACCTGCACACTGTGGTTGTGTGTCCACACCTCCTATACATATACATAGCCTATTGGACATCACATTACACAGCACACTGTATCTAGTAGGTGCCCAAGAAATCAATGTTGACTAAGTGAATAAATGTTTGTCTGCATTCATTACAGGCACGTGAGGAGTAGAGACAGTGTATACAAAGTTCCTGGCTCCCCATTAAGAGGCAGAAACCATTGTGGTCCCCATTTCAACCAGATGAAATTGAAGCCCAGTGTGCCCAAGGTTACAAGGAGGTAGGTAGCAGAGCTCAGGTCCAAATCCAGGCAGACCTGTCTGACTCTTAAGCCCATGCTATTTCCACTATTCAATGCTGAATTCACAAACAACAATCTCCCTTTCAAAGCCTGGGTTACAATTCATTTTCAGTTGGCCCCAGGACAGAATTTTCAAAACCCACTGAATGTATTGGGAGCTATCTGATAGGTCTAATGGTTCCCTACATGCCTTCCCACCACTCTTACCTACTGGCAGTGATGTGTTGATAAATGCTTAGCCATCAGCTCTGTGGAAAGAAAGGTGTCCTGATTTGTAGCAAATGCCAGTTGCCATGGTGTAAATATTCCCACCATGGCCATTTCAAGCCACCAGGCTGATGTCACTGAACACAGAGCTAGAAATAGAAGCACAACACAGTGTTGTAAGCCTGTGGAGGCATCCCCCTCACACCACATCCCCTCACAGAGCACACGAGCTTCTAGAAGGAATGTGGAATTGCCTCCAACCCTTTTGGGCCTGCTAAAATGCTCCTGCTTTTCTAGTTATTCCTGCTCTCCCACTTCCTGTGAGAGCCCCTGATCTGTGGGTGCACTTCTGGAAATTGGGGCTTATTGTCCACCTGGATCTGCGCCACCTGAGCCTAGTCCATCCCCAAATCTCTGACCCAGGGCTTCTGTGGGGGGACTTAGAGGCACAGACCTATCCCTCTTCCCTCTCCTAACAGGTTCTGGATCAGACCTCCCACGTCCTGGTGACACCACTGGCTCCTCTTAGGTTGCCAGCTGCCTCAGGCTCAGGGGGAGCAGCTGGGATTCTACCTAGAACCCCAGCACCAAACCTCCATTTGTGGGAGGTTGGGGGGCATTCATTATTAAACACCCTAATATCAGGATGATCAATAGCAAGCACTCACACACACACACACACACACACACTCACTCACTCACTCACACACATACACAGAGTCCAGAAGAAAGTACAGCGCTCATGGAGCTTCAAGTGAGCCTTCAGTCATATTTTCTAACCCACTAAATCCGCAGGGGCTTACTCATGAGAGGTCAGGAATGGCTTTTTGCCATGTTCAATTCACCTCTCTCTAGCTCCTAATGCACTCAAGTCTCTCCGTGTTGCTACAGGGGCAGCCCCACCAGGCCACCTCATTGCAGATACTAGGGAACTGAACCCCATCTAATCTCTCTCTCCCCACCCCTCTCCCCAGGGTCCTGCCTCTTTGAATCTCTGGTCATCTCAGCACCACTTGGTTCTCATTTCATGGGAGACAAACCTCCAGGATGTGCTGGTGGAACATCTCAGAGAAACACAGACCTTACCTGATGCCAGCCTGGCTCTCCTGTGAGTGCCATGTGCTCAGCAGAAGAGTCCCGTCAGTCCTTCTTTGGGTCACGTTGCTGAGTGTCCCAGCTTAGCCACACAGCAGGTCCTGGAAAGAGGACACGGCAGGGTGGGAACCCAGCCTGGCACACACGCCACACCACTCCAACTGGACAGTCTTCTGATTTCCTGGCAGCTCCCAAGAACATTCATCTCCTTCTGAGACTCAACAAAGAGATTATGAAACTCAATTTAAGGACCAAGTCTAGCTTTTTTCTTGAGGAAAAATACTGAACCATTTTGCATCTTGAATTTCTATTTTCTATTTTTTTCCTGCTACTTTCTCCCCCGCTCTAGGCTTCACAAAAAAGAATGTCTTTTGAAGAAATTCTTTAAAATAAACAGGATTTTTACTTCAGGATAAAGCTTCATGGAAGCCCTTTGACATTTGAATTTAGGAAACCCTGCATTGTCTGGGGCTCTCGGCATCTGAAAGCTAGTTGCCAGGAAGACTTGTGAAACCTTGGAATAAGCCAGCTTCCTGAAGGGCAGACCCTTCCTCTGCAACTAAGGTCAGCTTTTTTGCTCCTTGCAGACAGTGCAGTCTGCTCCTGGCTCCCGGAGGTGGGTAGCACACACCAACAAGCTAAGCATTCCAGGACACCCAGAAGCAATGTTTTAGAAACTGAACAATTTAGCCCAAAGCATCATAGCCTAGACTTTAGCAAACTTGAGAAAATGACCAGGTGCACATGGAGGAGCCTGGGAGGGCTCGCAGAGGAGGCAGATGTCCCAGGAGGGCCAAAGAGAGAAACTGGGGTGAGAGGTCCCTGCCCCAAGCTGGAGCCCAGTTGACCTCCTTTATGTTTTAAAGTACATCCAGGATTTTGTTTTAATCAGGTATGATTAGATGACAGACCTGGAAACAACTGCCTTGAAAGAAAGAATGGTTTATTAGCAGTCCTCAAGAGGAAGAGGCGTGCTGTGTCATGCAGGGCCACGTGGGGCAGCACCGGGGGCAGGTGTGAGGCGAGAGCATGGGTCGGAGCCTTCACTGGCTTGGGGGGCAGAACAGGCAAGGCAGGGCAGGTGTACCAGTCTGTTTACAACTGGATGATTGATTATTTCAGTGGGCTCTGAGCTACTGGGGGTCCCTAGTTGTTCAGCACCTGGTCCTGGGGGGCTTAGGGCAGGGGGAATGTTGGCTTGGTGTGTGAGAGCATGATAATGGACCTGAGGAGGGGTGTGGATAGGGGTGAGAGCTCTTGACTGACAGGCACGTTGGTCCTTTCTCTAGAAATTAGCTAGCTCTGGGAGGGACCATTCCTCCCCAGGTCCACAAGCCCCCAAATGTCACAGCATCATAGAATATAGAAAATTAAAAACAATACTCTCATCCTGGCAGATCCTCCATCCAAGGCCTCTGGGGTTCTAAAGTCAGGCAGACTAGAGTTCAAAGCTTGGGCCTTCTCACGTTGGTCAGTATGACTAGAGGATGCTACTGAAAGTCTCTGAAGACCAGCTCTGTCACCTCTACAGTGGAGGTGACAGCATCACCCTGCAGTGGAAGAGCTGCCGGCACAGCTCTGACACACAGTGGGCACTGGGACATGGTAACCGCAGTTGTGGTTATTGGGGGAAAGCGGAGATGCAATGGAAGGTTTGCATCTAACTGTTGTTACATTTCCCCTTGTGAAAAAATCAGACTGTTTGTAATGGCAAAACACTAGAACCAACCTTAACGGCCTTCGACAGGGACTGTTAAATGATAGAACCATCCGCACAATGGAACATCATGCAGTAGAAACAGATGTGAAAATGTAATCACACGAAATGATGTTCATGCTTTGTTACTGGCTACAGAGGGCAGGTCACCGGATCTAAAATCTCATACAATCTCATTTAACTTCACATGCACACACATACCCGTATCTGGGTGCCTGTTGTACAGGGAGATTTCTGCTACATCAGGGCCTCTGGTTGCCACTAGCACCCCAGGCCTATGGGTCCCACTAATGGGAGCGGTGGCTGGAAACAGGCTGGGGACTCCTCAAGGCTCAGGGGGGCTCAGGTCTCCCTGCAGGGCCAGGTCGAGTCCTCTGTGACACTGAGAGAGGAGATTCTAGATTGTGGTTTTCCTCGGGTGGTGGGGGAGGGAGAAATAGCAGATAATCTCACCTCCTGGGTAATTTGGTGCAGCTGAGGACTCAGCCCCTGGGGATGGGGCTCGGGTGGACCCTGGAGCCTCTGAGCAGTGGGGTCACTGTGTCATGGGCCCGAGGCATGGACTTGGCAGGGCCGAATGTGGAGCAGTGGAGCTGCTCAGAGAAGAGCCAGTTCCCCCAGCCCGGAGCCGCCCCACAAGCTTGAGCTGGTGGGGTGGAGAGGGGAGGACGTGAATATGGCATTAAAAATACACCTGTCTTCAGTCAAAAGCAAACAAGGGGCCCCAAGACCTTAAACGCTTCATTTTCTCATTCCCTGTCCCCCCCAACATACACGCACTATCCATCCACTCTTTGCTCCTCACCATCTGGGGCAACTGGGGCAGGCTCCTTTCTCTCTGTGAGCCTCTGTTTCTTCATCTGTAGAATGGGGGGTGCTAATGTCTATTTCCAAGATCAAGAGAATTAACTAAGATCAAAAGAAACTACATATATGCAATATATAACTTCCAAAAGTTTAAAACATGATTCTCATAAAAACAGGGAATGAAAAAAATATGCAGAGTGAACACATGTGAAAAATGTGTTCAACTCACTAGTGAGGAAAACAGTAAAGTGACAGAGGTGGTTCAGGGAGTATTTGAGGAACTGGATACCTTAAATACATCTATTCTTAAAGGTTTTTTAAAGAATAAGATTGCTACATGAGATACAAAACTGGGGAGCGTCCATAAAGGCATCATCTTTAGGGTTCTCTCCTCTCTTCAACCAAATAAAAAAATTGGCATTTCTGCCAGACAAAAATCACAAACCAGCATGGAACTTCACCACACGGCGTGTGTTAGCAAAGTCGGACACAAGCACGCTGTCCTCTGGCGAGGCTATTAAACAAGGGAGGATGTGGGAAGGACCAGCCGAGCCCCTGCAATTCGCCTTACTTGCAAGACTGGGGCAACTTTTCTGAAGGGCAAAGAGCAGGTTCCTACGGCTGTGGAGTCTCTCCCCACTGCAGACCCCACGTCCCCACTGCTCTTGGGCTCTGTCCTGGGAGAACCACTGCCCTGAGTTTGAATCATGCTAGAAGCCCCGAAAATAGTCTCCATCTCGCTTCATCCCTCAGCCGTGCAGTGGGTGTTACAAATCCCATGTTCAAATGGGAAAATGGGGGCCCGGCGCCTTGCTAGCTCCTGCTCCTGTTAGAAACAGTTTTCTGGCTTTCCATGGAAACGGGTCCCAGAAGCCATAGCTCTGACGTCCACCCAGAAGATGCTGCCACACTTCAGGGCCACCCCTCCCCTATGCCAGCGGCAAACAAGGCTGGACTCAGGCCGCAGCCGGGCACTTCTGGGGCTGAGGCTGGGGAGCTCCAGTCCCTCTCTGTGGTCCTCAAACTGGGCTGCATTTGCCGTTCGGGCCACAGGAAGACATTTCTCCTCTAAGGGAACAAATCTCCGGATTCTCCGCTTGCAGGCTCTTTCCTAATGCCGGTCTGCACCAGAGCCTGGCCTGCAGTCCGAGAGGAAGGCAGTTTCCATCCTCTTGGCTGCCTCCTCCCACCTCACAAAGAAGCCAGGCCCGTCGCCCCCTTACTGTGGGGGCTTGTCAAGGAATACACACACTTTAGAGCACCAACAAAGGGACAGTTAGAAGTAGCCCTGACTAGCTGTCCTTTTGTCCATGAGATGGTTTGCAATTCTCCCAATGACACTGAGGGAACTAATTGTGCTGACAGAGTATTAAAAATCATTTTTGGCAAGTGAGAACTATGTGACTTTTGGCATATAACTTAGAGGACAATCAAAGAATTGAGTGACATCTGATGCAATGCTCCTCCCATCCCATCTACTTATTTATGTGAAAAAGGCTTCTGGAACTTACATCTACAAAAATGAAAAGTAGAATACAAGGAGTGCTGGCCCCAGGGCTTTCCTGAAATACTTAGTAATCCATCTCCGGACACAGGAGCTAATGGAGGGAGAAAGCCCCACAGGTCCCTGAGGAGATGCATCCCTGAGAACATTTTGCTTTTGATGTTTAAAAATTCACGTGATTTGCAATACATTCTGTCGCTTAGTCAGTTGTGAACTTGCAATCATCATAATGATATTTCAATTCAGAAGACTTTTTTAGCACTTAGAGCCTATGTTCGGAGGGAATTACCGTAGTCTGCATTCCCATTTGCACCCATATTAGAGCAGACAGGCTATATTTAGGACATCGAGATAAAATTTTGGAAAGGGAAGTGGAGGGGAAATGTGAGTTCAAAGAGAAAAAGCAACAATATGAAATGTATAACTCTTAAAAATGAATCATGTATTTATATAAATGCTTGATAATGGGCACTAAAGGAAACCAGAAAATATCATGCCAGAAATAAAGCCTGTTTGACGTAACAATTATTTTGAGCGGAAGGCAGTGGAGATGCAGCAAATACAGGAAAAGCTTTCTCTACTCTCCCCTTTCCAGCCTCAAGTTAGGGTATAAGTTTTCCTCTCCTGGAGACAGCTCTTCATTCGAATCAGCCTGGATGCAGCACCGGAGGACTCCGCCGACAAGCATACCTCCGTTGCCCCCTCGCCAGGTACTTACCTTGCTACAGTCCGCTGCCCTTGAAAACTTAAAACGATTTTCTTTTGTCCTGTCGTCTCTCTCCAATGTCACAGTTCTTTATTAAAGATGCTAGATAAGCCCTACAGCTTTGACTTACTCACCCTTCAGTTTCTCCAGGGCATATATGAAATACACATGTCGATAAATTTTTTTGTTTTTGTGTTCATGTGTCCTTTGCTATGGAGACCTAGCCAGTAGCAGGGAAAAAGAGTTTTCCCTCCCCTACGAAGCATCAAATTGCTATGGCATTTAGATTTCATAGGATACTTTTAAGAAGAGAAATGAAACTTCTGTTTTCAAAACATTAATATTTACAATATTTTGGAAATTATAGGCTTTGCAGCTATCTCAACTTAAGATGAGCTTTGAGTGTCCACCTAAGTATGTGCAAAGGGATAATGTTCAAAGCTGCCTGAAAGAGTTTAT